ACAAAGTCAGTATCACTAGTGTCTACAGCAACTCCCAACATATTTTAACCTTAAAAAGGTTGAAAACTTAACTTAGATCAACTAAGAATGAAGTTATTTAGGACATATTTACTATAAAAGTTATAACCAAACTATACAGTATATTTTAAATTTGTTTTGTATTTAACCTAACCTTATAGAATAGGCTAAATTAACTGGCATTGATGTTTATGTCTATTCAGAACCCAACTTAGGAATTTTTTGACAGGGCCCTTAACTTAAATTATAAATTTAGTTTTTTTGCTGTATTGATTTTTTAAATTCAATTTATTTTTTAAGGTTATAAATAAATTATGCCATAAATCTATAAGTCATTATTTAATGTTGATTAATAGAATTGGGACGTAGGTATATGACTGTATTACATGTTTTTTTTTCAAAAATTAAAAATATAAATATAAGTTAAGTGTAGGTCGTAGGAACAGGTTTTAATTCAAAAAAATATTTACTGATATCCTATATACATCATGTGCATTGTAAGTAAAAGTGGCAATGCATTTTTCAATGGTGTCAATATAAATAATAAAAAAAAACATGATTTCGAATTTAAGACATTGGTTCACTAAACTTTTGAATAGATCTGTAAAATCAAGTGTATTAGTTATTTTAGTTATTTCTCTTTCAGCAAATATTACAGCTGCTACTAAAAGGTACAAACGTCGATGATAAGGTGACAGAATGGGTTAAACAAATGATGAAGTGCTTTTGGCCAACTTTATCTTAGAACTTAATACCTTATTTTATCGATTATTTTCTTAAATTCTATTACGAAATGTGACTAATTTGTTTTTTTAAATATAGTGAATGTCTAACAAAAGCAATAAAATCATATCATAATATTAGTATTTAAAATGTCAAGGTTCAACACTTTAATAACTAATTATCGACAAGAGCCCGAGGCTACAGCCACCCCCTTAAGTTGGGCTCTGTGTTGAAGCATAGGGACATACCCGTCAATGTGGATGTAATTAATAATAAAATGTTGATAAGTCCTAGGCAATTAGAAATTGTTTTGTAATCTCACAATAAAATGTCATTTAATTACAATAAATAGTTAACAGTCCTTAAGTTCTCATGTGTTTTGTTACAACACTTGAAAATGCATTTAAAAATTGTTGTAATCGAAACTTAGACATATAAATAATCAGTGATCGAAGAGGGTGGGAAAGGGATACGGTGTGATGGCATCCCTCCACTTGTTAAAATTCATATTTTCTATCCCTCCACTTATTTTGGACGACTGTTTAAGCAATATATAAGAAATATATAAATTATGAAAGGTATCCTTCTACTTATTTTGAGCCACTCCGACCACCGTAAGTCTGTAAATAATATAATATTTATTTATGTGTCTGTGGTCATATTATGTGCTATAATATTATATTGTATCTGCTGTAACAGAAAGACCCGACAAATGAATAATAGAACATCTAATCAATGATTTATAACATTTGTATCTACATTGTACAAGCGGAACGACGAATGTATTGATTTAACAATTATGCGTTTATTTTTTATTTTTGTGTCTGTCATCACCTTTTGGGGCAGTAAAAATTTTTGATTTTATTCATCAGCATCTTTTCTGAAAGGAAAAACGGTAACTAAGGAGGGGTCAAAAGTAAAAAACGGGATGTTTACGCAAAACCGATTTTGGTTTTTGGTGTCACTTTAAAACAAAATGCAGCTTACGAATTGCATCCAGTGTAAAAGTTATACTAATTGCGAACCGGGTTTTTCAGGAGTACGCCTGAATTGCGCCTTCATTACCTGTCATATCTTAATAATAATATTATTAATATTATATTTTAATTGTGATATTTAGGCAGAATATATTACATGTACATTTGAACGGTGTCATTGTGTGAGTAGTGAATGAACATTAGTGTGTATAATGCTTTATCTGGACAATTATCAGGCTGTCGTACCATCGCGCAACGCCTACCTATCAGCTGTAATACGCGGGTATTCTCAGAACTTATTTATTACGATGATAATAACCAAAATAAACTATGTTTAATATTTATACATATTTTATCTCCGTGTTTTCAAAAGATCATCATAATGATGTTTCAATATAATACTAATTGCATATTAAAAAATTAAGACAAAACAGAAAAAATTTTTAAACTATAGATCTATGTCAATTTGGTAAGCGCAAAGCGCAAGCGTTATTTGTTATTATAATACTCAATATTCTCGGCTCTTTCAAGTAGCAAAAATTCACAGTACTAAATAATTCAATCACTTTATTGTTTCATAATCATTATTATATTACATTATATTTGTATACAAATAATTTAAAAATTAATATTACAAACCATCTCTGATAGGCAACCCACGGTCATATCTCGAATCAATAATTCTAAAATCATGCTATTTATATAGAATGATGACAATATTGGGGTTTCATAGATTTGACCCAAAAATTATCATCTCTGAATATCTTTTCGTATAAAATACCTATTATTTGAGGAAAAAATTATTAAGTAATTTAATGAATGTTTTAAAATTGAATGTATGTGTATAAAATAAAAATACTTTCATATTTTTTTTAAAAAGTTACATATTTTTTAAGCCTTATTGAATACAAAAATCAAAAATCTGTTTCCTACATAACCCAGAAAATTTGAAGATGAGCTCATACATACTTTTAAAATAATAATCGAACATCGGGAAGTACATAAACTAATCTTCCGCTTATTGGTCCAAAACTACCAAAAATACGGTGTGCTCCAACAGCCTTAAAGAAACGATTACGTTAAAACTTCGATAATTTACTTGGGAGTGACGTTCTGTTGAGAAACCAAGTAATTGTCGCTGACCGCTATGTAGTGTTAACGGTTCACTTATTGTGAACACATGTCACATTTTTTAAACCATTTTTAACTATGACGAGTGAAATCAAAACTATGTGTAGTTAAAAAGAGAGGGACATATTTGTGATTGTACGCATTTTGATTCCACAAGTAGGTCCTTAAAAAAAATGCAAAACGGTGGTATTGTAAAAAAACTTGTACAGCTTATATTAATTTGAACTCCGATAATGATGCAGTCAAAAAAGTTATTGATCATAGTCATGATGAAGAAATAGAACATTGAACCGTCAAATCGTAAGAAATAAATTAAAAAGAAAAGCTACCGACGGCATTTATGAAAAACCTAGTAAAATAATTTATTAATCATGAATTACTTACACATGATGTAGATATGTTAACTACATATGATTTACAATTGATTAGAAAAAATAAACACTATGCACGATCGTTTACTTAGCCCGAATTACAGAACAATTTGGAGTAATTGCATACTTCATTAGATAATATAAGCGATTTGTTTTTAACGAACCATAATAAAAACTTTTTGCAAAAAATAACTGGGAAGCCATTAGTATGACTCCCCCCCTAAAAAAACCCAGGAGGCAATTCGGAAGGAATTTTTGCCGCAGGACACAAATCGTAGGTAGCCAAACAAATGTATATAGACACATGCAGTTTTCACTGAATATTTATTTAATCAATTCCTATACTTATGAAAAATTTTCAAAATATTTTGACTTGTTTTGAGCTATTAACAGTCGTCTTTAGTTCCCAACTTTTTTTTTTTTTTGTGAATATTATTAGATAGTGAAGCTATAAATGTGATCTGATAAGCGTAAACCTGTTATATCATTATAATATGTTAAGCACTTTTAACACAGAGATAACAAATGAGTGAGTAGTTAATAAGACTCACATACTTTGTTAGAAAAATAGATTTATATCTTTTCTTAATGTGTCCCCAAGAAGTCTAGAACCCCAATAGATATGAGACTGTTTTCGTTCGGATCACATACATATTCATTAAAAATATGAAGGAGTTGAGGCAGGAGTTCTACAAGCAAAAAAAAAAAGGAGTAAGTGGATGGCTCTCTGATGTACAGTAGGTTATTACAAGTGGGTCACTGTAATGGATGGTGATAAATTTGAAATCAATGATATAAAATAGTTGTATATGAAAAACGATTCTGAGCGAAGATGGTTTGTATTGCTTAGTAATTTAGTACATTTGATGATACTATTGTGATTACAGATTTATTTTACTATTAAGCATTAGTACTAAGTAGATTAAATTCATTTTTGCTAAAAAAAAAAACTTTTGAAAAGTCATTGTGTGTATAAAATATAATAATATACTCAAAAAGTTTCAAGTACCCACGAATAATATTTTTAATTACAACAAAATAACTTAAGTTTTACTTTCTAGTAGACCTTTTTTTTTTTTTTGATCTAGGCACACAAACTTATAAGGAATCTGTATTAAATTTAATATCTTAGATACAAAAAGAAAAATTTTATGAATTTTTAACTCAAAACCATTTGCAATCTTTCATGATCTTAACTAATCTTACAAATGTTGTCAAAATTTTTAATTTAAATGCTCATAAACACTATTGCTTAACTTTTTTTTAAATTTCCACTAAGAACAACTTACGAGGAACCTTGTGTTACATTTTCAAGTTGTTTGACAAGGCAAAACATTTTTTTTAAATAGAATCTAAATTTTATCATAACTTATATAAAACTATGGACTATGAATTAGAAATTGGTAATGTCGTATTACAACTATTATTTATGTATTACAATTTTAGAAATCTATTAAATAAAGTATAATTTATCATTTTTTAACACAGTTAAATTAATTGTTGATTATTTTATTCACAGTTTCAATATTCCAGATTGCTAGTAACATACATATTTACCTGCAAATACAATTTTTCAATTTTGAGTAAATTGAATTCAAATGTGTCGAAAACATTAAAAATATGAGTTAAGTATAAAACATTATAAACTACTTTTTAATTTTAAGACTTTTTTAAAAGACCTTTAACTTCACTTGTTTACCCAAGATTCCAACAAAAAAATATATTTTACATAATTAAGAGATTTACGAAATCACTAGTCAAAAAATGTTAAAATACAAAATATTTTTTAAATGATAATCAATTTAATTCATAATGCATAACTATTATCCATGCATAATATCGGTTTAATTATTTCCACTGTAAACATATAAAAATTGAAGGTTATTCTTACTGAAATAATTAAAAATGCAGAGGTTATTCAATCTGGTGATAATTATTCCAGCTGCCCATAGTTATATTTAACTTTTGAGCTATTAGTTGTACAATATGAATGTTAAGACTTCAGAGCATCTTAGATTTATGCTGTGATTAATGCTCTTATCATTCTAAAATTGTTTTAATAAAAAATGTCAATATATTGATTCAATTATGTATTATTAAAATAAGTAACTTACCCATATAAGTAGTAAAAAAATGAGAATAAATAAAAAGCCAATTTTATCCAACCTTCACGTTGATATTTGTTTAGTTTATCGGCATTCATTATACTAGTCGGATCATAGAGACCAAAACCAGACATAGCTGGTCTATTTCGATACCTAAAATAACAGAATGGAATATTTAAAATAAATAATTTAACAATTTATGAATACTAAAATCTATGCACTCTTACTTTGAAATATGATAAGCCATTAATGGAACATTTATAGCAATGGATAACCACTGGCCTCCAAACAAAAACAACAGATTGGAGAAGAAATGTAAAATATATTCTGGAATCACTAACTGAAATAAAAATTACATATTCATTATTCCTTACTGTTATTAATACAATTTTATCAACAAGACCATATGAATACTTATAATATTAATGAAAAAATGAAGACGATCTTCCATTTATCATCAGGAATATTAGAGTTATCTATTGGAATTATATGACTGTCAGTCCTCAAAATCAGCTTTTTTGAAGCAATTTAATATAGGTAGTTTGTGGTGTTATACTTCTCTGAGCTTATTCAGATATTATTTAAGTAGAGTTATCAAGAGTAAAATACTATTGAGTATAATGGTAATTTCAAGGTTAGGCAATAGAAAAGACCTAATATAAAACCTCAAGGTAAAAATATATGTTTTCTGATGGATGTTTTTCAGAATTACAATTTTCAAGCTACTTATGAGAATGTTTAAATTTTATTATTTTACACACTCATAAATTGCATACAATTTAAAATATTGTAAAAGACTTTTGAGAAAACTTGAAATTGGTATTTCTTTAAGTTTAATAATAAGTCAATTCACTCTGTTATTAATACTTAATACACAAAATTGGAACTTCTAAACACAAATTAGCCTTTTAAGCTAAAATTCAACTTTTAAATCAGACATTATACATGACGTAAATTTTTAATTTTGACTAAAAAAGGAGCCTTTTATAACAGTTAAATATTATCATATTATCCTAATAAAGTTGTATTTTTTAGGTTTAGTAAAAAAATAATACAAAGAATCACAATTATGTAAACAAAATATTTAATCGCTTGTCTTCATTAATATAAGTTTCACAGTTTTTCTCTGAAAAATAATTAAAACCTTAATTGTAACCAAAATTGTACATAATATCACATTTGCATAATATATGGTATACTTTACAAAATAAATTATTAACAAAATATGAATTATAAAACCAACAGTTACTTACTATGTTTATAATTTATACCAGTAATACTATTTAACATGTTATAGTTGTATACAAGATAAATCATATAAACTTTTCTCATATTATAATATTTATACATACTGGATTTAAGCTGTTGCATTGATCAATAGGATTCTTGCTGTCATTTTTCAGTTCATCAAATGCAATAACCTATAACCAAAATAATTTCAGTTAAGAGAAAAAAAAAAGTAATAATACTATTAATCAACTTGTGTACCCATTTGCTTCACCAACTTGAGACATGCATAATATGACATAGAATAACAAGGTAAATTAATTAATACACTTATAAAAATAGATAATGATATATCATTAATAAACTAATGAATGGACCCACATAGTATGTAATAATATACCTTTTATTATTCTAGTTAGTAAATACATAATACTTATAAGTCTAAATTATTATGACACTGATATGAGTTAATAAAAATCAAAATTATAAACATGGATCAAAAACTTAGATTCTTGAATATTTATTAATAATTACGTATTGTTTATTATTGTTGTATGTAATTAAGTTATATTATAATTTACATGACATTTTACTAAGTATATGTATGCAATTTTCAAAAACCAGATTATGAAGTAGGTATAATTGCACAGATACAAGATGATATTTTAAGCATGCTCACCTAATAAAAACACTTATTACCAAGCAGGTTACAAGTGCAACAAAAAAGCATGGTTGTAGGGAGAGTGGGAGTCATAAAGTTATATTCAGGTTAAAACAACCAATACATTATTTACAGCTTTTAAGTATTTTTATTTGTGTCGTCTTTTAATGTAGTTGCAGCTATTCTTTAACAAGTTCAGTTTCTACAATAGTATCAATTTACTACTGTTGTTGTTTTTCATTGTTGTGTATCATATTTAATAAACTGTTGAATTTTAGGCCACTTGGTAGCAACATCAATAAGTTCATCAGTTATATTTTCTACAGTTAGGTTAGGATCAAATGTTGAAAATGGCAACTTATTTTGTGAGTTTTTTTGATACATGTATTAACTAAATTAGTATAATTTAAATGTTGAAGTAAAGCAAAAATATATGGATCTAAACTTGGATTTAAATTTAAATTTTTATAATTAGAACATTATTATCAATATATCTGAACAAGGCTACTGACAATTTATCTAGTGATATTTTCATATTGTTCTGTGCTACCAGGGGCATGACACTGTGTAAATTAGCCGTTTGAGGCATTGAACACCGTTGTGGCATACGTGAAGTAGGGAATGGTAAACAAACCGACCCCGAGCAGCATAACCCGCCTAGTTTGTGGTAGTAAACGTTTCCTGAATACGGGTAAACAAGGGTCTAACATCATATTGGTGTATGGGCTTATTTCTTAAGTTCAGATTTCAGATCATAGGTAAAAAAGAACCTGATCAGCTGATCGAGTGTTGCTTCTATATTGTTCTATGGTGTTACTGACTAGTACAAGTGTGCATTTATAGATAATATAAGAATTCTTATATTATTAATTATGAGTGTAACCTATAGCAGGAGGCAGAATGTCCAAATTATTTGATTATTTTAAAAAATAATTTACTTTTACAAATCTCTTAGTGGCCCATCGAGCTTTGTCTGATAGCCCACCTGCCCTAATCCCTTGAACAATTCTAGATGTGGCACTGTTTATTATAATGATTACAATACCTAATACAAATATTATGTAGTAGTTTTGTAAAACAATTTAATTGTTTACTACATACCAACACTGACATAAATATATGTGTAATAAATTAAGGTCAATAGGTATATCCATGGCTTAAATATACAAGGTTATTGCAATAGTACCCCCACTATATCATTTTATCACGTTAAGGAATAAAAATGGCAGCGTAAGGGGACGATGTATACTGGCTATATTATGATATTACATGCCATGATATGGACCGTACCCTTACGGCATAATCTGAGGCTTAATCTAAGGTATAAACAAAGCATAATAATTGCTTAGCTACGCTTCATGATCATCATTACATGTACAACTTTGAAATTTAAATAAATACCATATTCTATGTGGTAGATATGGTTTAATTTGAGTTTTTACCGCATAACTAGGTAAGTCTATACAATATTTTAGTGCGGCTGACTTTTTGATCTATCAGATAGTACATGAATAATAGCTGTTTTAGAGTAAACTAAGTTTTGATCTCCAGCTTGTATAATACGAGTGATTAGAGCAAACATAACCTAACACAATAATACAATTATACATGAATTACAAAACATTTATAGTATCTTATCCAAAAATAAGTTGGTACACAATATGATTCAACATATCTAGGTCATTTTCATATACCGTATATCTACCCGCGTTACTCGTAGTGACCAACGTTCAATTAAATTAACAACCAGATGAGTAACTGGCAGTAAGATGATATCTAGAAACCTGAGCCTAAAGGTTTAGGTAGTAGGTACTCACGTGAAACACTGAGAAGAACAACAGAAAAGCGTCGGTTATCATAGCCACAATGTAGGTGCACGCCGGGAAGTTGAAAGCCATGGCTGTGAGCGGACGTTCTTGTTGCGCGTGCAGCAGCGGGTCTCAAATATCTGGAGTTAACAAAGTCCGTTAAGTGGGTGAGAGCGGGGAAGTAAGATCAACCCGATTTCTAGCAATTGAAAGGTTCAAATAAGGGTGAGGGTGACAATGAAGTAATGAAACACATCAATATTAAACAAACTGAGAGAGTTGAAGTGGCAGGCGAGTCAAATTTCTAAACCAAAGACGCCGGAAGATTGCAAATGATTCGACAATTATTGAATGTTAACTACTATTGAATATTGACAATGGAGTAATATTTATGAAATGATTATAATGCGAGACCCGCCGAAACGGTAAAATCGATTGCATTTGTTAATTATAGTGATAACTGACACTGATAAGGAACAGATTATGTTACAGCCTACCGCGACTTAAGTTGTGCCTCCTAACGATAAAGAACATCACAGATAATATTATATCAAACATCAAACTGCAGGCACAGAATAGATATATACTAAATAAAAATAAAAATAGTATATATCTGTGACTACAGGTAAATAAGATATATTTTTGTATTTCTGTAGAGAGCAAATTCTACTGTGATTCTCCGTTTATCTGTCATACAGATAATATAAAATTTATATGTTATTAATTACCTAGATTGAAAATCCAAAATTATCGAATTTCTTACCTTTCTCCACCAAGTTTGGGCTATATGAAAACGACAAGTTTCGATAATGACATTGGGAAAAATTTCTTTGACTGCTTCGTGAGCACAAATTTCGCAGTCGAGACTCGAGATGCAGCTTTTTAATGTTTAGAACTGGACATATTTGCAAAAGATACTTCCACATTTTAATTTAAATTTGTTTTGTTTTGTTTGGTAAAAAAAAATAAAGAATACCGTCTTCAAAAAATTCAATTTGTTTTGACTTAAAATTTAAATTTTGGCTAGTTGTTATACAAACGAAGTCATTTGTTTCAGGAACAAAAACAAATTGTTCACTTTTAAACATACATAAATCATTATTTTGCATATTTTTTAATTGGGATATAGGTAGCTTCATTTAAAGAAGTAGGATAAATTGGATACTGTTTTCTTTTTTTATCATAAATCGCCTTTCGCTCTGATGTAATATCATTGTTCATAATATTTGGTAAATCACTATTTAATAACTCTGTTCTAATAACTTTTAACGGTCTTGTCGATGTATTTTCTTCAGCTTTTCGCTTACAATTTTCCCTCAAAATCTGTCTTTCAATTTTTCCGTTGTTATTACTTGTATGATTTACATGTTCACCATTTGACGAATGAAAAGTTTTGTCTTTTTTTGTTAATAAACTGGCACTACAGTTGTTATTGGAACATTTCCATTTCATTGATTAATCATCTTTGCGTGTTCTTACATATGAATATTTATCATTACTTAATAATACAAGATCTTTTCCGCGTTCAGACGTTATAATTTTAAAGTTTTCCGTTATACACCACTACATTATACACTATTACACAACCTATAATACGTTGTTACTTGCTACCGCACTGTCCACCAAACAACTGAATTTGGCAATATTAAAAATTATTTACAGTTGAATACCTGCAGATACGTACCTTGTACATTTCGTTATCGTATTTAGTATTGTTACTTGTTCAGTTCTGGACGTAGGTACTAATTTGTTACTAATTCAGTATCATGGCTTAAATATACAAGGTTATTGCACATAGCCAAATTGTTATCAAATAAAAATAAAACGCGTTACTCGTAGTGACCAACGTTCAATTAAATTAACAACCAGATGAGTAACTGGCAGTAAGATGATATCTAGAAACCTGAGCCTAAAGGTTTAGGTAGTAGGTACTCACGTGAAACACTGAGAAGAACAACAGAAAAGCGTCGGTTATCATAGCCACAATGTAGGTGCACGCCGGGAAGTTGAAAGCCATGGCTGTGAGCGGACGTTCTTGTTGCGCGTGCAGCAGCGGGTCTCAAATATCTGGAGTTAACAAAGTCCGTTAAGTGGGTGAGAGCGGGGAAGTAAGATCAACCCGATTTCTAGCAATTGAAAGGTTCAAATAAGGGTGAGGGTGACAATGAAGTAATGAAACACATCAATATTAAACAAACTGAGAGAGTTGAAGTGGCAGGCGAGTCAAATTTCTAAACCAAAGACGCCGGAAGATTGCAAATGATTCGACAATTATTGAATGTTAACTACTATTGAATATTGACAATGGAGTAATATTTATGAAATGATTATAATGCGAGACCCGCCGAAACGGTAAAATCGATTGCATTTGTTAATTATAGTGATAACTGACACTGATAAGGAACAGATTATGTTACAGCCTACCGCGACTTAAGTTGTGCCTCCTAACGATAAAGAACATCACAGATAATATTATATCAAACATCAAACTGCAGGCACAGAATAGATATATACTAAATAAAAATAAAAATAGTATATATCTGTGACTACAGGTAAATAAGATATATTTTTGTATTTCTGTAGAGAGCAAATTCTACTGTGATTCTCCGTTTATCTGTCATACAGATAATATAAAATTTATATGTTATTAATTACCTAGATTGAAAATCCAAAATTATCGTATTTCTTACCTTTCTCCACCAAGTTTGGGCTATATGAAAACGACAAGTTTCGATAATGACATTGGGAAAAATTTCTTTGACTGCTTCGTGAGCACAAATTTCGCAGTCGAGACTCGAGATGCAGCTTTTTAATGTTTAGAACTGGACATATTTGCAAAAGATACTTCCACATTTTAATTTAAATTTGTTTTGTTTTGTTTGGTAAAAAAAAATAAAGAATACCGTCTTCAAAAAATTCAATTTGTTTTGACTTAAAATTTAAATTTTGGCTAGTTGTTATACAAACGAAGTCATTTGTTTCAGGAACAAAAACAAATTGTTCACTTTTAAACATACATAAATCATTATTTTGCATATTTTTTAATTGGGATATAGGTAGCTTCATTTAAAGAAGTAGGATAAATTGGATACTGTTTTCTTTTTTTATCATAAATCGCCTTTCGCTCTGATGTAATATCATTGTTCATAATATTTGGTAAATCACTATTTAATAACTCTGTTCTAATAACTTTTAACGGTCTTGTCGATGTATTTTCTTCAGCTTTTCGCTTACAATTTTCCCTCAAAATCTGTCTTTCAATTTTTCCGTTGTTATTACTTGTATGATTTACATGTTCACCATTTGACGAATGAAAAGTTTTGTCTTTTTTTGTTAATAAACTGGCACTACAGTTGTTATTGGAACATTTCCATTTCATTGATTAATCATCTTTGCGTGTTCTTACATATGAATATTTATCATTACTTAATAATACAAGATCTTTTCCGCGTTCAGACGTTATAATTTTAAAGTTTTCCGTTATACACCACTACATTATACACTATTACACAACCTATAATACGTTGTTACTTGCTACCGCACTGTCCACCAAACAACTGAATTTGGCAATATTAAAAATTATTTACAGTTGAATACCTGCAGATACGTACCTTGTACATTTCGTTATCGTATTTAGTATTGTTACTTGTTCAGTTCTGGACGTAGGTACTAATTTGTTACTAATTCAGTATCATGGCTTAAATNGATGCTGTGGTTGCCATAGCTATCGTACTGGGAAATGCTAACGGCTCGCGCCACGATACGACATTCCTAAGTGCGCATCCTGGGCGTCGCAATGTGTATGGTCGAATATCTATTATGTGGTATTCATGATAACTATGACACGTACAACACTCATTATATTTAGTTATCCTCATTATTTTATATTATTATTTTATAGTCCCATAAATGCCCATTATCCATAGTGTATCCAGGAAACCATAGACTCGCTTAAATATATCAACACTTTTTTTAAAAAGTATTTTTTAATAGTAAAAACATTTTAACTAGAAGTTGATATTTAATGTCTTTCATGAAGCTTACGGTTGAAATATAATACAACGGGCTCTGGAAATCTTCAATAACTTGAAAAAATATTTTAACAGATTCCAAAACCTATTACAATATATATTAAATCAATGAAGTATTGTTAAATATACATTATTAAATACTGACAGTTACTTATTTTGGATTCATAATTCAATTATGATTTTGTTACCGAATTAAGAAAATAAATGTACAACAAACATTAGCTTGAAACCTCAAAATTATGAAAACAAATTCTAATCAACCATGAACAGACATGTCTAGCATTACACTGCTAAATTTGTTTGCTGAGAGCATTTGAACATTACAACATTTCATAATAAGGGGCGTCATTTGCGGGGGAGCAGACTGTGTAATGCAAAAATACCAACATAAAAAAATTTAATAATTGGACAGCAATTAAAACCAAAATGCATCGTCGAAATTAACTTATACAATATAACTTCATATATAGATAATAAAAATGAAATGTATTTTTTTTAAGTTTTCCAATATAATGGTTTATCAAGTTTATTGATCATAATTTATTTGCCTTTTTTTCAACTAATAGCGAAATGGGATTAGCTGGTGGCTCTAATTGCTAGCTGTATTAGTCGTTATGAGTTACAATTAGAATTCTAAAAGGGAAGGGAAGAATATTTACATAGGTTTGCATAGGTTATCTACAATTATATAAACGAACAAATTTTTTTGATGTAATAGTGAAATGTTCAAATTGGGCTGACTAAGAGTTTGCACAACCAGGAAAAAAACCAAATGAAGATTCTCCAACAACGAAGATATTGATTAAATAAGGTAAAAACAAGAAAAGGGAAAAAAACATGGAGGAATATTTACAGTTCTTCATTTAAAGCGAATATAATAATAATAGTTCAATAACGAGTG